CAGTGTTGGTTCTATTGCTAAAGCGTTTGTCCCCACTGGCATGCTCAACTCAGACAGTGCTGATGTTGTTTTATAGTCTCTACGTCAGAAGTACCGAGACACTGACGAGTTGATAGTTCCCAGATGGGTGACGATCAGTATTTTGCTTTTTTGTAAATAGGATGATAACTTGTTTTGCCAATTTTCTAACTATTGTTGTTCTTTTTGTACAACAGACCAAGATCCGTGATGGAAATATTGACCGCAATGTGCTAAATTGGTTCACAAGATCAGGTGCTGATGGTTTTGACCAAGTAGGTGAACTTGGACTTTTTGTACTCATTAACTAGAACTATCATGTTTTCTTTGCAGTTTTGGGATGTGGGGGGAATGAACTTGATCTGTGCTTCTTCTATTAAAGTTGTACTTATTGTTGCAAGGGAATTGAACTGATATGATTGTTCCTCAATTTTGGGCAGTGGATATAATTTCTTTATGATTATGTGATTTTTTGTTTCTACTTGTGAATTTCAATTTCCCTCTTTTATTTTATTGTTTGGAGGCTGAATTTTTTGTTTCATTATGATTTGGTAAACTCATTTTTCCTCTGCAATTTTATTCAACTTCTTTTCCCTACATTTGATCCGCCGTCATTTGTGGCTACCATGAAGCCTAGTGAAGAATCTAGGCATTGGTGCTTGGTTGTTCTGAATTTGAAGTTCCGTCGTTTCGAGTGTCTTGATTCACTCCGTGATGAAACCTGGGGTGATGCAGTTAGATTCTTAAGAAATATGACAGATAATATAAAGAAGCTTTGGAGGGAGTCCAGTGTAGACAGGGCCAAACCGTTCTCATAGACGCATATTGATGGTTTCTCTTGCGAGGTTGTGCGGGTGCCTCAGCAGGAAAACACGTGAGTATCCGTTTTTAATGATTTTTGCTGCTTGTTTTTGTTGCTGGAGGATGTTGTTCCTGTATTTTTTAGATTTTGTGTTGTACCATTTTTTTGATTTTTCCTTCTGTTTACAGGCATGATTGTGGATTCTTTATGCTACAAAACTGCAAGACCTATTATTGCCGGGAGGATGGTGTAATTGAAATGGTCGATTATAGCCATGAAGACATTTTGGACATTAGGAAGACTTTGTTGTATACGTGCGCAACTAGCGATTTGTTTGATGTTGACTTCCGGGGTTTGTTTGGCATCGAACCCTGTACGAGTGCATGGACTTTTGTAATTTTTTTGCAGCTTGTACTTCTCTATTAGTACTGTCATGAAATATGTATTTGAACTTACGCTTTGTGCGGTCTTTTTTTTTCCAGGTGAGTGGCTGGATCTTGGTGAGCATGACTACAGGTTCTTTGGTAGCCAGTTCTTGGAGCTCGAGCGCGTAGCTATTGATCTTAGCCAGGGGCGTTCTCCCGAAAAGACAAGATCTGGTGTTATGAAGGGGCGGTTGGGAGCTTTGAGAGGTTTTACGGCTGCTTGTGCAGATAGCCATACTACACCCAAGAATCCCATTGTGGAATTGATAGACAGCAATGATGATGTGTTTGACAAGATTGCTGGCGTTGGAAGAGTCACGAGGAGCGCTGCTGCCAAAGGTTTATCTCCCCTTGCTGGAATAGTGGCTCGTAGAGCTGGTGGTGCTAGGAAAGATCCCGCTTTGGATTCTGGCAATGTTGTAAGCACGAAGCGTGCGCCCAGAGCTCCTATAAAGTTTTGCTCCCCTATGCAGCAGCTACACCCTTATAAATTCCGTCACCTGGACAAGGCTCGCAGGTTGTATAATCTGTTGCTTAGTGATGAATGGCGTGAGAAGTATCCCAAGTGAGTATCTCTCATTATTTTTCCTCTTCCTTTTCTTGTGTTGTTTGTAACTGCTAGATAAATATGGCCTGAACTGTTCCTTTTTATACAACTCGAACTGCTATGAATGCCTTATCTTGCTTCTCCTTCTTTTTTGTTCTTGTGTGTGCTGCAGGAATACATTCTCAATGATACCTCAACCCGATGGAAACGTAACTAACTTCACTGGGAATCGCATCTAGGAAGTTTTTTCACCTGGGCAAATGATGGAGGGTGATGTAGTGGACCTCCTCATTGATGATTGGAAGCAAGATCCCGATAGAAATGCTGATTTTGCATCTGGGAAAAGGATATTGCTGAGTCCATATTTCATCACGGTAATCAATCAGATCGGTTTCTTTATGTTGAGCAAGACTGTCTATTGTTTTTATGATTTTCAATAATACTTTGCTTGTTGATTCTTTTCCGCTTTTTATTTTCTATTTTGGCTTTTTTGCAGGTTGTGCTTGACTGTTCGTATTACGAGGATGAAAATAAAGTGTTTAATGTGGAGAGTTCAGCGAGAGATTTCAAGAGCTATGTTAAAGCTAATGAAGACTTGCTCAGTGCCGACCTTGTGAGATCTACTAGCTGATTTTTGGTTTTTATTTGTTTGTTGTGATGCTGGTTTTTACTTTGAATATTTAACATCTCTTTTTTGGTCATTTGTTTTTAGATCATGATGCCTCTATTCAAGCCTATGGTTTTACCAAAGGATTGGAAAGTGAGCCACTATTCCTTATATGCCATGAATCAGTACCGAAGTAGCGTTGACATCCTTGACTCTTTACCTTATCTGAAGAACCACCGTCCTTCGAAGAACACCTATCACAAAGACTGCGAGAAGATTGTGAGTGACATTTATTATCTGTACTGGATTAATATTTTTGCATCTTTGTTCTGCTGTTTCTGAGACCTAAAACTGTGTCGGTTGTATTGTTTTTTACAGATTTCTAGATTGGTCAAAGTAATGAAGGCTGTGTATGGTGATGCTCAGTACAATGCAAGCAAGCAGCCCAATTGGGAGCTGTTTGCAAAGAAACCAACGTTTGTCAAGGTTCCACTTCAAGGGAAAAATGAATGTGGCCATTATACTTTGAAGTATGCGGGATGCTATGATGGTGAAAAGATCGTTGAGAATATTCGAAATAATGATGTGGGTTTCTTGTGGAGGTTTTCAATTTTTGTTTTTGGCTTATTCTGCATCCTTTTTTATTTGTCATGATTTTTGATAATTTGTTTTATTGTTTTGCAGCCACGCATTGTTGATTGGAACGGTGAGGATCTGTATAGAGTTGTGTTCAACCGGAATAACCATCTTATGGTGACGGAGCTTCCCAAGGAGGTTCAGGCTTTGGCTCCTGATGCATAGGATAAATGGTCATCATTTGCATAGTGAATTGGATAGTTGTGTGATATATCTCTTGAAAACATTGTAGGCTCTATATTGAAGTGTTTGATGTCTGGTCGAGTACTATGTAATAACTAGTATATTTTGTGTTGTGTTTTAAGTGTGGCACAATGTTTCATCGGGAATTCGTTTTGGTTAAGTTTTTTTTGTACTGAAGACTTATATAGTAGTTGAACTGAAAACAATTTTTTTTCAAGTGTATTTTCGCATTGTTGCTCAGAAAGTGAGATTTATTTTATTTTTATGTGATTCCATCATAACTTGGACCTTTATAGTTTCTGTACTCTCGTTTTCTTGTAATTATGATATAGTTCTGTTAGTACTGATTTGTAGTCTCATTCAGCGTAAGGCTTTCAAAATTTTAGTGCCAAATTTCTTTTTGAACTTCTTGAATTTTAGTAGTTGAACTTCATAGTAAAAGTTAAATTACTGGTTTAAATTAGCTACGTTTAAGAGATAGTCCTATTAAGTTCAAAACTATTTCTTTCTCAATGCATTAATTGGTATCATCATAGCACTTACCGAATAAACTTAGTTGTACTGAGATTCCAATTGTGCTAGTACTTTTGATTAATTATTTATTGTTTGTGTTGTTTGATGCTAGTATGTCTTCTGTTGTGTTTCTTGTGATTTTTCTCTGTTGTCGAACTTATATCTTTTTGATTAAGTTATTGGCCTTCTTTTTTTCTAGGCTGTGGTTCTTCTCCAGGCAATGTTTGGTATAATTCTAGCACTTGCTGTATAGACTAAGTTGTACTGAGATTTCATTTGTATTGCCACTGTTAATTCTTAGTACGTCACTGTTTTAAGGAATGCGAACTGAAGCTTCCCGTTCCTTTTTATATATTTGTAGAATGAACGTACCGTGTGTTCAACTGTACCATATCTTTTCAGTCCTAGGATGCTAGTGACCAGGAAATACGTACTGGTGTTTCCTTGCTTTTTCTGATGCAGTACTTAGTGAATTTCTAACTACTTTTTACCACGATGCTTTTTAGTACTGAATGTTGTCCCCGGTTGAAACTTAGTCTTTTTAGTGTTCGTCTAAAACTAAAAACTGATTTTTTTAGCGTGATAGTACTTCCGTTCATGTCTAAGCTGTACTGAGAGTCGAAGGCTAATATTTGCTTTTGGCCTTTATTTAGTCTGCCACTTTTTTTGCGAAAATATTCATGTGTTATTTTTTTTTCTCCATGACTAGTGCTGCTGCGTGGCAGCCATCAACTTTCAACTTCAGCCTAATTCAACTTCAAATGATAGATGAACAAAATAGGAATCTAGCAAATTTGTTGGACGACATAAGCAAACGATGTACTTGATAGACATAGGCAAACTTGTTCAAACCCTGACACACATAGCATAAGGTAGGTGGTTCAACATAACGAAAGCTAATTACAAATCTGAAACAACAATACTAAGGACACACAGAGCATAAGGTATCTGGTTCAACATAACAAATGCAGACTTCCATGCATCTTCATCCGCGAAGTTGCAGTGGTAGTATGGGTCAGCCTCCTGCTCTTTTGAACTATCCCAACCTGTCACGATGTTGTCGATTGTCTTCCATGACTTGTACGTTGCGTACGCATCTATTCCTGCGTACGTGATGAGGTTGTCTAGCAGCGGGCTGTTCCCCCACAGTTTGTGGTCTTCCCTGTTCATCTTCTTCTTCATGCCTTCGTAGAATGGGTGGATGACGCCGCCTGCAACATCGGCCAAGAAGTCATAGTATTTGTCGGTCTTTGGATCTTTCCACTTGCGCTACATGTCGATGAAGTTGTTGGGGTTGATTTCCAAACCACACTTCTCCAGCATCTGCTTGTCACCTCCAATGCTGAAACCAACAAATGTGTACAATTTCTCCTCCTGCAGGAAGTCTTTGAGGCGCTTGGGCCTGCAAGGTGGGAGACACACATTTATAGATTAGTCTTCTTTTTTGAGGATTTAATTCTTCTGCTTTTTTTTGTTCTACAAGTGATAATCCATGAGGTAGATGCTTATATATTATGAGTCATGCATGAATGTAATTCAGAAACTAGTACACAAAGTCCTGAAATTAAATTCAACTACACCGTGTTATTTTTTCTTTTTTGCAATCTTCTTTGCTTTACCAAATGATTCACCAAATTAGAGAATCATTTTACCAGAGTCAATGATATATGCGCTGCTTGATTCAAGTTTAGTTTTCTTTTTTTTTGAATAAAAGACCTATACCGGTGCTTGATACATCTTTGTGCATTAATTCTATATCAAGTTCAAAAATTAGTTTGAGAAACATGTGCATCAAGATATGGACCTATACCACTTCACCAAAGATCTTTTAATAGATCAATTCTATAAACTATACTAGTGCATCAAGATCAGAATCTATGCTAGTTCATGAAGTTCGGAAATTAATTTGGTGCATAAAGTTCAGAATGCTATAATTTTTTTTCAGATGATAATCTGGTGAAACAATCCACTTCACAGTTTTAGAAATGCATGTAACTTGATAAACATGTAATCGTGCATCCACTTCATGGACTATAGTAGTTCATCTAGTTGGGAAACAATTTTTAATTAAGTTTTTAGTGACTAGTACTGGTACAACAGATGAATGAACAGTAGTATGAGTTACAATGGATGAATGTACTTCAAAAACTAGTAAAGAAAGTTCTGAAATTAAATTAAGTACATCATGTTATTCTTCTTCTTGGATTATACATAGTTTCAGTAAATGTTGTATGTTCTTCATTGGTACTAGTTTAGTCTACTTTTGTTGAAATAGGATAACACAGAACCAGTGCTTCACCAAGTCCTTAGTTTATTTTCTTACGAAAATAACATTACATCAAATTCAGAAAATACTTCACAACATCAAGTTCAGAAACATCTTTTTTAATACATTAAGTACATAGACTACTCTATTGTATCAACTTCATAAACTACACCAGTTGATCAACTTCAGAATTTAATCTTCTGCAAGATTTTCCAAATAGTAATATCAGGTTCAAAAATACATTTATAGTATATCTACTTTAGAAAATGCAGTAGTGCATCTACTTTTCACAAACCACACTAGTACATCTAGTTGGGAAACAAGTGTGATTAAATTTTCAGGATATAGTACTAATAAAACAGATAAACCATATGCAGGGCAAATGAGTAGGATTGCTCACCATTTTGTGGCCGCGGTGATGTGGTACACCAAGCAGAGTTCCCCGACGCACAACTATAGGACTGCCGCCATCTTTGGAGGTTTTTCGCCGTCAGTGTACTCCACATCAACTCCGATGAAGCTCGGATACAAGCCGCCGCCCTTCCTCCTAAGCCTGCTCATCATCTCGTCGACCTTGTCTGGTTCGCTGGTGCAAACGATCTCCAGCGTCTCCTTGCCGTGGAGCTCAACCCCTTCGAGCGTTCTGGTGCAGTCGCGCTTCTCGCCGGGGATGTTAATGTCGACGAGGTTGCTCCTCTTGTCCGACGTCTCTGCATGATGACGCTTGGCGGACGGTTCGTCCACCATGGCCTTCCTCCAGCGACTGTGGGCTTTGTAGAGAGACGCTGGAGGTTTGTGTGAAGTGGAAATGGAAGCGGCAATGGTGGTTTGTGGGAACGAGGGAGAGATGGAAGACAATGGGGTATTTTTGCAGTGCACCGACGGTGTTGTGTGGGAGGTGGTTCGTCGGGGGCATGTGTGGGATGCGGTTCGTCGGGGGTCGCCGTTTGCAGTGCGTCGTGGCAACCGCCCAGTGGGTGGCGCGGGTGGTGGCGTGGAAGAACTAACCGTCCAAGACAAATGTTTTTTACTGGTGCACTGTTTAGTCTTGTCAAGCTGTACTTAGGATCTGCTAAATCCCACTTGCACGTCTCTGCGGTGGTGATGATGGCATTTTACTGTGGCACCGATTCGTATAGTCAAGTTGTACTTATGTATTTGTGATGTTTTTCGTGTGGATATGTAAGTATTGTTTTTCTATTGAAGCCTTTATACACTAGTGTATGTCAAAACATTTTTTCAATGCCCTGGGAGTTGTTGCTCATAAATTGTACTTATTTTATTTTCATCTGTACCAACCTAAGTTAGGCCTTTATAGTTTTTGTATTCTCATATTTAGTGTAGTTATGTTTTAGTACTGTGTGAACTGAATTGTAATTTCAAACAGCGCATGGGTTTGAAATTTGATGTCAGAGTGGTGCGAGTGGCCTGACTGATCCTGCTGTTTTAGTACTGATGTTGTATGTATGTTTGAACTGATTTTTTTATAACTTAGGTTGGCGGTGGGGGTTTGAGATTATTTTACGACCAGATCGTTCATTGTGGTGTGGACAGATTATATATAAATAATAGATTTAGCAGAATTGACAAATAAATTCTATTTGAACTTTTTGAATTTTAGTAGTTGAACTTGTCAGATTTTATATAAATAGTAATTTTAGCATAATCGACAAACATTATATGTTTGAACTTTTAGATTTTTAGTAGTTGAACTTGTCAGTTTTTCTATAAATAAGAATTTTAGCATAGTTGACAAACATTATATGTTTGAACGTTTTGAGCTTTAGTAGTTGAACTTGTTAGTTTTTATATAAATAAGAATTTTAGCATAATTGACAAACATTATATGTTTTGAACTTTTTTAGTTTTAGTACTTGAACTTGAAAGTAATATTTAATTCTGTTTTTTAAATTATGTACATTTAACAGAAAGGCTATTAAGTTTTGTTCTTTTAAGAGGTTCATTGTTTTTGTATCATATTTTTTTCCTTTTTTCTTGTAGAGGTTAATTGACAAACATTTTTCTTGTGGTTTATATTTCTTTGTCCCGCCCTCTGGTTTATATACCTGGGCTTATTATGGTGGGGTGTTTTGTTGACGATGTAGGCTATTGGGCCGTTTTCCGGCCCAGATAGCTCGTCCGCGCGCCTGTGCAGTGCGTCGTGCCCGTGCGCTCTGGGTTTAGTCCCACCTTGCTAGTCGAGGGGGCTCCGGACCTGTTTATAAGCGCAGCCGACGCTCACCAGTCGAAGTCCTCTGAACACTTACCTGAGCGCTTATACACGACGCTCTCTCTCTCTCTCTTGACCTGTGGGCCCTGGTCGGCAGGTCCTGCATTGTGCGGATTACTAGGGATTCGCCCACGGGTTCGAGTTCAAGTATCTAGCATTGTCAGGGCCTGCGCCTGACCTTGGGCGGTCAACTTTTTTGTTTGTTTGAATCTAGTACTTGACTCCTCTAGTAACTTGGATTGATACTTTTTGTTCTAGTTCTTGTCAGTTTTGTGTGAGTGTAATCTTTTTTCATTTGAGTTTTTTGCCTTCTTTTTTGTGTTTGTTTTTGTGATTATTCTCAAGTGTCTTCTGGTGTCATTTTCAGTACTATGATACTTGCGTGTAGACTGAGTTGTACTGATAGTGCATTCATAGTAGCGCTTACGGACTGATGCTTCTTTGTACTTTTTATTGTAGTAAGTATGCAATGTCCGATCAAGTGTACTGAGTTGTGCTGACATTGAACAACTTGTGTGATTAGTTGCATCATAACTAGTACTTTAGAGAAACGACAACGTTCCATTCAGAAGCTACTTTTCAATTTTGAAATGATGGATTAGCAACATACGAAGCTACCAATCCAAACTTATATAATGAGATAAGCAAAACATTGTACTTGATGACATAACTAAACTTGTTCAAACATGACAAGCACGACATAATCATACTGGTTCAACCGAACAAGAGCAAACTTCTAATTTGAAACAACAAGATAAAAGGCAAGCACAAGCGAAAGTAAAACAAAGGCAGGCACTGATGTATCTTCATGCCTAAAAGGGGTAATAGGGGTGGTCGTAGAAGTTGTTAGCCTCCCGCTCTTTCGCAAATTCCGAACCATCTGTGATGTAGTCGATCACGAACCATGACTTGTACGCGGTGTACGCATCTACTCCCGCGTAGTCGATGAGGTTGTCTGGCAGCTCGCTTGTCCCCCACAGTTTGTAGTCTTCCTGCGTGTTCATCTTGTTCTTCATGCCTTTGTAGAATGGGTGGATGACGCTGGCTACAACATCAGTCAAGGAGTCGTACTCTTTTCCGGTGTATGGAACTCTCCACTTGCGCTGAATGTCGATGAACTTGTTGGGTTTGATCTCCATACCAGACAACTTCAGCTTCTCTTCGTCGCTTTCAATGCTGAAACCGGCAAATGTGAACAACTTGTCATGCTGCAGCATGTCGGTCAGGCGCTTGGACCTGCAAGGGCAGAGACATTTTGAACATTAGCATTACTTTGATGTTTGAATTATCCATTATTGTTTTGTTTTACATGTGACGAATCCATGAAGTAGTTGTTTATGTAGGATAAACAATGGATGAATGTACTTCAAAAACTAGTAAAGAAAGTTCTGAAATTAAATTAAGTACATCATGTTATTCTTCTTCTTGGATTATACATAGTTTTAGTCAATGTTGTATGTTCTGCATTGGTACTAGTTTAGTCTACTTTTGTTGGAATAGGATAACACAGAACCAGTGCTTCACCAAGTCCTTAGTTTATTTTCTTACGAAAATAACATTACATCAAATTCGGAAAATACTTCACTACATCAAGTTCAGAAACATTTTTTTTAATACATCAAGTACATAGACTACTATATTGTATCAACTTCATAAACTACACCAGTCGATCAACTTCAGAATTTAATCTTACGCAAGATTTTCCAAATAGTAATCCAGTGCATCAGGTTCAAAAATACATTTATAGTATATCTACTTTTAGAAAATGCAGTAGTGCATCCACTTTTCACAAACCACACTAGTACATCTAGTTGGGAAACAAGTGTGATTAAATTTTCAGGATACAGTACTAATAAAACAGATAAACCATATGCAGGGCAAATGAGTAGGATTGCTCACCATTTTGTGGCTGTAGCGATGTGGTACACCAAGCAGAGTTCGTCGACGCACAACTGCAGGACTGCCGCCATCTGGGGAGGTTCATCTTCGTTGGTGTAGTGCACACCAACACCGACGATCCTATGAAACCTGCCGCCAAGCTTCCTCCACAGCATGGAGATCACCTCATCGGCCTTGTCTGGTTCGCTGGTGCAGACGATCTCCAGCGTCTCCTTGCCGTGGAGCTCAACCCCTTTGAGCGTTCTGGTGTAGTTGCGCTTCTCGCCGGGGAATTTAATGTCGACGAAGTTGCTCCTCTTGTCCGACGTCTCGGCATGATGATGCTTGGTGGACGGTTCCTCCGCCATGGCCTTCCTCCGGCGACTTTGGGCTTTGGAGAGAGACGCTGGAGGTTTGTGTGCAGTGGAAATTGAAGCGGCAATGGTGGTTTGTGGGAACGAGGGAGAGATGGAATACAATGGGGTATTTTTTCAGTGCGCCGATGGTGGTGTGTGGGAGGCGGTTCGTCGGGGGCGTGTGTGTAGTGGTTGTGGGGGGTCGCTGTTTGCAGTGCGTCGTGGCAACCACCCAGTGGGTGGCGTGGGTGGCGGTGTCGAAGAACTAACCGTCTAATTTAAATGGTTTTTACTGTTGAACTGACTAGTCTTGTCAAGCTGTACTTATGACCTACAAAATCCCACTTGCACGTCTCTGCGGTGGTGATGATGGCATTTTACTGTGGAACCGATTCGAATAGTCAAGCTGTACTTATCAGCTGCTTATCCCACTTGCACGTGTCAGCGTCGGTGTTGGTGGAGGTCTGAACTCCTCTACTGTCGTACTCGGACTGGTGATTGAAGTGTAATTGAACGTACCAATTACCAGCGAGACTATGTGTGGTGCTAATGTTTTTTAAAACAATTTTCGTATTTTTTTAAGGATTGTTTATATCAAGATAACCTGTGAGTATTTTTTATAGATAAATTAGATTTTCACCAGTACAGGATGTATTATATTCGCATTTTGCTTGAGGTAATTATTTTTATGTACTGATAGTCTTTCTGAATTGGGACTGGCAGGAGCAGGCATAGCTTTGTTTTTTGAAAACGATTTTTTTTTTCCAGTCGTTCACTGGTGTGTTTGTTATTACTATGCCTTTTGTACTGCCGACAGAGAGTAATCAGTACTGATGTAACACAAGACTTTAAATTTTTCCTTGACATTTTTTTGCTGAGTTACTGGTTCACAGTAACGTTTTGTGTCAGATATATCAAGATAAGTTTTTTCAATTTTATTTTTGACTGCATTCAAAAGGATTATCAAATGGTTTAAATAATAATGTCACTGCTTCAGCGGGCACAAATTAGAAATTATATCAGCACTGATGTGTACTCTACCTTGTACTGACGAATGAGAGTTATCAGTACTGATGTGCTACAAGAGTTTAAAATTTTCCTTAACATATTTTTTCCCTGAGTTACTGGTTCACACTAGCGTTTTGCGTCGGATATATCCAGATAAGTTATTTCAAACGTATTTCGTGACGGCATTCAAAATGATTATCAAATGGTTTACATAATAATGTCACTGCTTCAGCGGGCACAAATCAGAAACTAAAAAATAACTTTAGTTCTGATAG